TAATTAATTTATTATTATTATTATTACCATTATTATTATTAGTTTCAGGTGTACAAAACAATGCACTAGTTATCCTTTTCACCCCTCACAAAGTGACAAACCTCCTCCCCACATCCACGGCTGAATTTTCTTGAATTCAGAGTTCCTGAACTCTGAGCCTTGAGAGTAGAAGTTCACTCCAATCATTCCTGTACCAACCCACCCCATGGCATTCCCAACCCCATGGTGTCCCCAACCCCATGGTGTCCCCAACCTCGATGTGTCCCCAAACATGCTAAGGAAGTGTCTCTGCCCCTCTGTGTCCGCCCTCAGGAAAACGGCAACCTAGGATTCATACCAAGTCCTTGAAAGGCAAGCCCTGCTGTTCCAAAGATCCTAGTCCTGACGTGAGGACCCAGAAAGGTAAGCACCGCACCTGGCATAGATGGCGGAGAGGCTCTGAGGAGGCCATGGGACAGGCCGTATATGTGGATCAGTCCCCACTCAGGCCTGGCATCAGGCGCTGGAATGGAGGGGCCACAAGCAGATATGATCTCAGCCTCATGGAACTCCCAGTCTAGTGGGGAAAACTAACCGCCCCCCCGCTCCAAAAAAAGTCAACAAATCCATCATTTTGAACTGAATATGTTCTGTCAAAGGAAAAAACAGGATGCAAGTAGGAAATGGTACAGGAAACACAGAGGGTGGAAAGAATAGTGCAGGCAGGAGAAGCAGCAGGTATGGAGGCCTCAGGTAGGCAGGAGGGAAAAACGGAAGACAGAGGGATGGGGAGTCAGGAGGTGCTCACAGAAGCTATAAACCAAGGCAGGCCGGACTGGTGAGCTGGCACATGAGGTGGCATGACTGGCCGGAGGACGGGGTACACAGGTCCAGAGAGTCCCAGAGGTGCGGGCAAGCAGCAGAGCTGGGCTCCATGCCAGGGTGAGGTCTGTCAGAGCAAGCCTGCCCTCTCTCACTGGCCTAGGGGCCACTGGGTAGTGAGGAAGGCAGGCCCAGGGAGGGCTGCAGGCACCCAGCTCCCAGCACTGGGGCTCCAGGCCAGGGTTAGGCTGACACATAGGTGTTGCCTGGCCCAGGGTGCTGGACCTCTGCTAGCCTTTGGTAGGAGGCTTCTAGAGCCTGGGACAGGCAGAATCCCCAAGGGAAGGCTGCAGAGCCGGGAGCCAGCCTGGCTGGACACAAACCCAGAGCTCCTACCCCCACTTTGCAGCCTAATGTCCCCTCCCAGGGATCTGTGAAGGCCCCAGCCCTGTTGGTTCCTCTGGGGCCACGGCCATGCCCAGAACTGGAGCCTCCACATCCCTCTCAGCTACCAAGTGTCCTGTGCACCAAGGGGGAGCTTGGGTGTGAAGGAGATGGAGGGAGACTGCAGGGTTCAGCCTCAGGCCACTTCTCCGGAGTATGTGACAGCCCCTCCTTCCAAGCTGGCATCACATCCAGCTGGAGCTGAGTAAAAATAACCAGTTTTCACACACTGAAGGCGAGTGTGAGGCACCCGCTGGGGCAAGGTGGAAGTGAACACACTGACTGGCTGCCTGCAACTCTGTTTGCACCTGAGGCCCCAACCTGGCAGAGGAGGAGTGTTTCTGTGAAAGGAATAAGCAAAAATCTAGGGACAAGAGAAACAGAATCCATCCCCATAGAGGAGAGCAGGGCGTGCTCAAAAATCCACCCCCCACCCCCACCCCAAACCACTCCCCGGGATGAACTTGCTCAGAGGCAGTAAGGAAGAGACGTGAAGGGTGTGTGCCCCGGCAGCACACAGGCACACAGCTCCTAGGAAACAGCCGGGTTAACTGCTGGTGCCCAGTATAAGGGCGGGGGACCTGTAAGCCACAAATGCTTTAGAATAATCTAGGTGCATGGCTCCCAGGTTTGGTCTGGATTTTTCTGAGTATATAGATTTAAAAAATTCCACTGCAGAAATCTGCAAACTACTTAAAACAAGAAAAGCAAAACAAACATTTTTATTGGGTCCTTATCGTGCGATCTCATTGAAATCCTTGGAACCACCCTAGGGAAGCATTTTACAGATTGAGGAACCGAAGCTCAGAAAGAATCTGAGGCAGAGCCAGAAACTGGCCTGTCTACCTCTCCACTACAACAAACTGCCTCCCGATAGTGAGCAGGTCCCAGGCAGCACACTTAGGAAGACAGGTGCGTGCCCCGAGGGAGACCGCAGAGTTCCCGGAAGGAAAGCACCACCTGGGTTGGAATCTCAGCTCCACCGCGTGTTGCTGGCTGAGTGCCCTTGAGCAGATCACCCAGCTCTGCTGAGCCTTAGTCTCCTCATCTGCGAAAAGGGTGTGATAATATAATCTACCTCACTGGACCGTGGTGAGGAGTCAGTGGGGTCGTGACCATGAAGCCAGGCACCAGCCTGGCCCCGAGTACCCCGGAAACGCCGGAAGTTTGAGCCCGGCCAGGGCAGCTGACTCAGGAGACCAGTGATTTCCATACTGAAAACCCAAGCCAGCACAGTCTTGCCCAGGCTTGGTGGCTCCACCCACTGGCTTCTGGACAAGATTCTGGGGCTCCCTCAATGCTGTGCAATCAGTGGGGGGTGCTAGGTGTGCCAAGCTCTGGGAATTCAGCCTCTGGACTCTGGTTGACTGGCATAAGTGTGTCCATGTGCCTGTCTTTCAAAAGAGAAAATAACCTAGGGCTGCCTGGAAAATGTTCCTGAGCTGACAATACCAGCCGTGACACCCACATGCTGGGTGTCACCTACTCCTCAATCTAAAGTGTCCTTCCTGAGGATTGTTTTATATGTGCTGTGCTAGGCCCAGGGGGGGTGACAGGAAGTGGCCGGCACAGGATTTGGGGGCAGTTCGACAAAAACCATCATAAAAAATCAATGGGCTGAGTGGCCAGTTTACTGAATTTACTGCATTTACTAGTTTACTATAAAAGGCTTTGTCTCAAGTGCATATTTGAAAAGTTTGCAGCAATCTGTATAGTAGCATTGTCGTAACAGCAATGTTATTAAAAGCAGTGTTCAATTCGTTGGCTCTGTTAGCACTTGAGGGCATCAGGCTTAGGTTGGGTCAGACTGACAGCTGGTTAGGCCCCACCCGCTGGGAAGGTCTGTGACCCTGTGTCAAGCCACCCTCCTCCAGGTGTCCTGAGGCTGTCAGTAAGCACGCTTCTGGAGAAGGCTGGGAGGTCTTGTGAGGAGCCTGACAGTGTGCCTGCCTGTCCCAGACTGTCCCTGGTGCCTGAGAGCTCTGCGACACCCCCCCCTGCTTTGAAGCCCAGCAAAATGAGTTGACCCCTGGTGGGAACCAGGGGGAGGAAGGGACACAGAGAGATTTCTCTCCCACCATGGGTTGTCCCTGTCTTCAGAAAGGGCCCAGACTGCAGAGACAAGGGTTACCCACTGAGGACCATGAGTGTGATGACTTGAGGGTTTGGGCAACTCTGGGTAGTACCAAGGTGGACACAAGGACTCAGTACAATGGACCCTGGAAGGGAGGAGGTAGAGAGGGTGGCCAGCCCATCCTGCCCAGTGGACCCATCAGAGGGGCTCAGATCAGTGGTCTTGCTCCTTGAGCTTATCTTCATTAGCCATAGCTGCATAACGAAACACTCCCAACTTCAGTGGCCCAAAACAGTAATATTTATTATTTTCTGTGAGCCTATATACAGGTCAGCTGGGCAGTTCTAGTCTCAACTGGGCTCATTCACTCTTCCAAGGGTTGGATAGGCAGTCCTGCAGATCTAGGCTGGACTCTCTTGCATGTTTAGAGGTCAGTGTTCTGTTCTAGGATGGTCTCAGTTGAGCAACTGGACTCTCTTCCACATGGTCTCTTATCCTCCAGCAGGCAAGCCCAGACTTGTTCCCATGGGCTGCAGGGCCCCACCACTGTGAGTAGAAGCACCTAAGGCCTCTTGAGGCCTCAGAACTGGCCCAGCTTCATCTCCACTGACTTCTATTGGCTAAAGCAAGTCACCAGGCCAATCCAGCTTCAAGGAGCAGGGAACTAGACCTGGTATCTTGATGGGAGAAGCTGCAAAGTCACATTGCAAAGGAGGGGTGGAGAATTGTGATAGATTCACAATCAGTCAACCACGGTGTTTGCTGTAGGAGCCAGAGAAGAGTGTCAGAGTCTGAGGGTAGGGACAGGGGGTGGAAGGAGAAGCAGTGGTCAGGAAATCACAGTTCTCCATTAGAAATGCTGGCGGAAAGTTCTCACAACATGAAATTAATAGAAAAGCATAGTTTACATTGTATATTACTAATATTACTTTGATTATCACTATGGGAAGACTATAACACTTTCAAATAGGAAAAAATATAAAAAGAAGCTACAACAATATTAGCATTTATTTATGATTAAGACATGAGGCTACAGATGAATTTTGATAACTAAATTTATTTTTTATATAACTAGTGGCTATATAGCAATTACTATGCAGCACTTACATCTGCTGACTCATTTAATCCTCACGGTAATCCTGACAGTTACAATTACTATCCCCATTTTTACAGATGAGGAGCCAAAGCACAGAGAGGCTGAGTAACTTGTTGAAGGTCACACAGCTAGTAAATGATATAATTAGGCTTTGAAACCAAACAATCTGGCTCCAGATTCTGTTCTTAACTATCACACTGCCTTGCATATATTAATAATCTGGAAACAGAAGGAGAGAAAAAGAATACTCTCATTACCATAACTTAATAACCCTTCTCAACCGTGTTTCCTTTGTTCTTTTCATGCAAAATGTTGACCTAGTTTTATTTTTATTGCACATTTTTTAATTTTAAAAATTAACATTACATCGTAAGCATTCTTCTTCATGTTGCTACATAGTCTTCATAATCACAGGGTTTTATCACCATTAAACGTTTCTGTCATCATGAAGTTCCTTTACTAATTAATCATTCTCTACTGTATTCAGATTGTTTCCAGAATTTATTTTCTGCTATTAAAAACAAAACTATGAAGAATAGCTTAATGTACACATTTTTTTTCTTTCCTTCTTGTGTGTGTGTGTGTGTGTGTGTGTGTGTGTGTGTGTGATTCCTCCCATAAATGGGGCTGTGTTTGTCAAAGGATGCAAACATAGCTTTGAGACACACACTGCCTGAGAGTGCTGTCAGAAAGGAGACAGCCTAAGGGGCCTGCGAGCCTGCAAGGCCATGTGTGTACACCCTTCTACCCCTGCCATCAGAAACAGGCCTCCCAGACCCCTCAGCTTTACGGGGTCTCTGCTCCAGTTGAGTCGATAAGCTTCCTTCTCTCCGTCATCTGCCAGTAAATCAAATTTCTCCCTGACAAGATTGAAGTAGCCTGGGTGGGTCATGTTTGCCAGGAAAGTCCCTTCTGAGCCTCCAGGAAGAAGGGTGAAATAATCTGATTCATGCTTTGAGTTTTTTAAAAAAAACTTCATTTCTAGAAATGAATCTTAATTGTATTTTCCCCTCTCTCCACCCCTGGCTCTGCCTGCCTCTCTGTCTCTTGTCTTGACTTGTCTTGTCTTGTCTTCTTTGCCCATTGCTCCTTCCCAGGACGACATGTGAAGATCTGCAGACCGTGCAAGAGCAAGCTAAAGCCTTTGGTGGTGCCTGGGGCGCTCCCACAGGTGTAGTGTTTCTAACACAAGGCTCAGTTCCTGAGGTACCCGGAAGCCTCAGGTTCCCCCAGGACTGTCCCTAGAAGCTGGGCTGATGGCAGAGATGCCAAGGGGGTTGCCCCATGGAAGCCTCTGCCCAGGAACTCTGAGTCTCCTCTCTTAGAGACACAAGAATTCTTGCCTGGCATGTTGGATTGTTCTTATGCTGCCTCTTAGAAAAGCCTGAACCAGAATCTTCTGAAAACTACAACATAGATTCAACCGTCAGAGCTTGGAATGTCTGACGTACTGTGTGACACTGGACAAGTAACCTTGCCCCTCTGGGCTCATGTTGGCTACAGAGAAGTAAAATCCGGCAAGAAAAAAAAAAAACGTCCAGGGAAGGCCTTTCAGTCACTGGCACCAATGGCCTTTGTTCACCCCTATCAACCTTCATGGCAGTGAGCTAGGGTGTTGGAGAGCCTCATCTCAGGCAGCATGGGCTCTGGGAAAGTTCCAGAACTCCAGATCCTGGTCCCAATCATCCCACCAATCTTCAGAGTTATTGTGAGCCATGCTTATCCCACCTGGCCTCATTCCCTACCTGGCCCCTTCAGCTCTGATAGTCACCGTCACCCATGGCATCTATAAATTCAGCCTTCTGAGCCTGCTGGGGTGCAGGGTAACAGGCTGGCCAGGATTGAAGGGGCTTCGCCGTTCTGACACATCTAGGCCCTAATCATCCATATCTCATAGCCCCTGAAGGAACCCTGACTTCTTGATGGGAGTCCTCTGGAAAGGATATTGAAATGATAAATAAACAAATAAATAAGCAAACAAAATGTGTGGTGCATTCTTGTCTGAGAAAGTCGATTATGGCCTGATACATAGCTTTCTGCTAAAGAAAACCCAGGTCCCTGAAGCCTTTCCCACAGGCCAACCCTTCATCACAGCACATCTAACTATAGGACGGGAGAGTGAGGAACAGCAGATATAGCACGAGTCTTGGTCCAACACACCAAGACTCAAATCCCAGTCCTGCCCAGGGGGTTTCTTTCCTGTGAAATGGAGAGCACAGGACCTATTCGGAGGGCTGACATGAGGCTCCAGCACAGAGATGGAGGTAAAGCACCCACAAAGGGCCTGGCTCACAGAGAGGCTTGGTTCGGGGAAGTCCCTGCCCCCACCCTGCAGGGAGTGCTTATGCCCACAGTGATTGCAGAGCTGCAGAGCTGTGGCTCAGCAGGGACAGATGGCCAAGTCCTAAGAGGCTCATCTCTCAGTAAACCTCCCTTCTAATCTGATTCTCTCAGCAAGGTGGGAAGCCCCTCCACACACCATCCCAACAGCCATGTCTGAGAATGCCAGGCCCACCAGGTGCAAGGCTGACAGGCAGAGGGCTCTGGGGACAGTGGTCCCAGGGCAGCCTGAAGTCCTTACCTTGGCATAGGCCAGGCCTTTCACTTCCTTTCAGAAGCTTCATTCACATGTTCTCTTACTCACTCACTCACTCACTCACTCACCCCTTCCCAGGGTACATAATGGTCAGTCTGTGCAAGGTTCTGAGGCTCAGGGATGAGCAAATATGATCTTTGAGGGCTGAGAAGCAATCGTAGCTTCACAAAGTTGTGAGCACTGAGGTAACAGGGCCAGGTGTAGGAAAGGGAGTGAGAAGACAAGGAGCTGATGCTTGAACTGAGTTATGGGAGAGTTCCAGCTGGAAAAGAGGTGTGTGTGTGTGTGTGTGTGTGTGTGTGTG